TTTCAGAGCCCAGTAAAGCCTCTTATCACCAAATATCGTAATCACACATAACCAACCCTTCTCCACCACTAGCTCGTTGCTTACCACTCAGTTCTGTGGGAACATAACTAAGTTGACAACTTCAGTAGGGAGAGTTGGAAAGCAGTTTATTAAACGCATGCCCTTTCCTAAAACAACATGGAAGGGGAGAAAGGCCTGCCCCAGCTGTTGCTAATAGGCGTACTTCTAAGCAATGCTCGTGTAATTGCGTACCCACGACGGATTTTGAATTTCCAGTAAAATAGGTAAAAAACGAGTACAGCCTGGGTTATTTTATGGATCAAAGGCTTTCTTTGACTCAGCCAAACTCTCCATTCTCCTTTAGAGAGCAATTTGATGAATCTCTCGAATCTCATACTTGTTATCAGCGCGGACATCCCTGGCTATTGGTACCTTGGGCCCCTCCATGAGAAAGTAATCGATCGGGAGGGAACCTCCTTGACCAACTGTCATCTGATTGGCTCAGTCTTTAAATTGGACTTTTATGACTTTGTTGTGATTGTGGGCCTCAATACTTCTCGATTTTTGTAGCTCATTTCTGTGTAGTAAATAATGAGTGACAAACTACTAATAAATTTGTTGAAGTTATTTAGGACTACGTATTTTGGAATTCTGTGGGAAAAATAGTCAAAACGGCTCTTTACTTTGATGAATTACGATTTTTTTTTCAAGATTGAATGTTGCTAAAGTAGTGGTTTGAGAAACAAAATATGGACCTCACACTTTATCGCTTTACCTTTTTGAGGACATTTTGGTATGAGTGAAGATGAAGAAGAACCTCAGGAATCAGTCATACCAGAGATCGCCTTGGACGCAGCCGTAACCGGCCATGAACTGCCGAAGATTGTGAGGAGGAAAATGAATGATGCTGATTCTAATATGGAAATTGAGGAATCTTCAGATGAGGAAGAGGTGAAGAAGGCCCAAACAGGAAGGAAGGTGATTCCATCTCATTTTTGCTTCTTTACTTACATCCTAACAAGCTTAATTGTGGAAAGCCTCATTTCCGTGTTTAGTTGTTGTTGTTTGGTTCAGGTAGTAATCGTAAATGAAGGGATGTTTAGGGCTTTCCAATAACCTAGTGGCTCAAATCTATATCGACAGCGCTTTTCAGAAAAACGTGTCCAAGCAGACCTCCCTCACGTCATTTCTTTCATCTCCTCCCAGCGGAACACGATGGAAGCCGGTACATAAGCAAGCAGCATCTAAAAAGAATGTAGAAGTAGTCAAGAAAAGTGAGTTTTGGCTGCAGCTATAAAATTCAATTCATCCTAAGTTTTCTTCTCCAGAGATAGCAATTGATCCGCAAGATCCTCCAAAAGCTGGGAAGGTTTCGTCAGTTGTTGCTGAGGTCTGTTCAAATCCATACTTCTGTCCAATGTTCTAGAGGGAATGAAGGTCTTTTAAGCAAATAAGTATTGCTTAGATGTCAAGCGATGACAACGAAAAGCGTGAGGATGAAACGAAACGTCTAGAGAAATCCATACAGAGGGCTAAAAGGAAATCAATCAAACAATATCTAGTGAAGCTAAGTTCTCTCCCCTCCTCCATTTAATTCATTCCATTTCCGGACATCTGTTTAGCACTTCGTTGTTTTTTTTTTGTTGCTGAGTAAGCTTTTTGCTTCGATCTTCACTTGTTATTAATGCCCTGAACAAGGCGTGAAGTAATCAGGCTTCATCTTATGCAGTCCGTTTTAGGATGCTGGAGCACAGGAGAAGGAGAAGCTGGATCACTCAGCGAAGGCAGCTGAAACGCCCAGAAGAGCGAAGAAGAAAAAAAGCCTCTCCGAAGAAGATAAAGTTGATATTGTTGATCTGGACGATGAGGCAGAGGTGAACACAGCCTCGGGAACGCCTGTCGAAGAGGTGGTGAGAGACCTGGAAGTGGTATTGGAAGTCCATAAAACTCCGTCGCGATCGAAAAAACGTCTGAGAAATTTGACACCACGGGCTTTTCTTAAAAGTCGCTCTTCTATGAGTATGGACGAATACCAAGACAAAGATTACAACAGAACAGCATATAGTACACCAAGAAGAAAAATATCACGACATCGGTCGTATTCGCCTTTGAATTTCAAATTCGATGATGACGATGTTGGTGTCTCGAAGACGCCTGTAGTTCCACGAAGGAAACCGGATGGTGAAACGAGTATTTTTGATCTGCCTACTGATGACCAAGAGCTGCTGCAACATCTCAGTCCTCCGTCGACATCGGGACTAGTCTTAGCTGCTGAACTACTGAAGTGAGTATTACCCGTTAATTTTCCCATTCCGTTAATACTGTAGGAAAATTGATATTCATACTTAGAGAACCTTATAGGGGCCATCACTTCGACGTACTCTCGTCATATAGAGATTGGTTATGCGTCTAGTTCCTTAAGAAGTTGAAATCCTTAAAAGTAGGGTCAGAAATACTAGTATTAGAGTATGTTGTCAAGTGTGCCGTGAACTGTCTTATCGGGCTACAAAGTGGAAAAGCGTTAGTATGGCCCTGTCTCCGCTCTGTGGCCAAAAAATAAAGGACATGGACACTCTTTGCCTAGAGGAGTTCGAGGGTTCTTAAACTGCTTTTTTTTCAAATCTCCCATTCCAGAAGTCAAACTGATACACCTGCAGTGATCGTGCTGGATGATGAAGATAGTGACCAAAGTGAAGAACTCAACATGACCACTCATTCACATGCATCCGCGGAAGTTTCGGTTGTGGGAGACGTTCACATTGGTTGAGTCGTTTACCTTTGGATAAGGGGTAGCATTAGAATTGCTATCTTCGTATTGCAGCTGAAACTAGCTCGCTGGTGATAGCTGATGGTAGTGAGGACTTGTCGAGCTCCCAGGATGTGGTACTTTCTTCACAGACTGATAGTATGTTGAGTATGTTTGGTAAACCAAGGGAACGAAGGCAGAGGACTCCTTCGCCTGCATCTTCAGATATTGTGATATTAGGTACAATAGAGAGGACTCCCACGAAGTGAGTTTTCCTTCAGCGCTTTATACTCCGTATACTCTATACTCCGTTTAAAAATAGTGATTTTTCTTTATACCATCTTTAAAGATCTTCTATTCTCATCTTTCATTTCGCTATTTCGATTGTTCTTTTTGGTTTATTATTTTGCGTTAGTTAGCACTAGTTGAAAAAGTTCTTATGTACGGTTGAGCAGATGAGAGAAATTGTTTTGTTGTGATAGAAACTACAAAAGCAAATCACTCTGTTTCACTCTCCTCCGTTACTCTCCGTTTCATCTTACCAGTGAAAAGCATTGCGACGAAGCCAGGTTTCTTGGTGAACTGCTCCATTGGAGTTGGTAGTGCGTAACAGAGACGAGCATTAACCGCTTTTTGTTGTCGCATGTTTGCGATTGATCTCTGTAAACAGCCTCAGCATCAACAGGCGCCAACCACCTAGTAAGTTAGACAGGTTATCGATTGACGTTTTCAAGGCATGGTCTAAGGTGGAATTTATTGTTCTGGTGGTTAAGATTAGTCAGTAGAATTTTCTTTAGGGTTGATAACATTGTTGCCTAGTTGAATGGCTCACCTTAATATTCATGGTACTCAGATGAGGGTCATTCGATTCATACTATGAGTATTGGTCTGATCAGCCAGGGATGACCTCTATTATGCTCAAACTCTTTTTCTACTCTTTACTGCTGTTGTGTTTCCGTGAATGCAATTTTTGTCGTGTTTGCGTGCTGCCGAATTTTGCAATTATTACCTTTTTAGTGCATCATGCGAATATTTACTCCGTCCCTATTCAGATCAAAGTCTCTAACAGCAAATCTACTTTATTCCCCTCGCAAAATGGCACTGAACAACGAAGAGCGTCGCAGAATAATTCTATCCAGAAAGAAGAATGATCGTGGTTGGTTTCTAGAAATTGGGTCTCTTAGAATGAATAAGACTCAGGCGTGGTATTTCATGCGTACCTTTGAGGTTTTCAGAGATGTTTCCCAATCTGGACAGGTTGGTACCGGAGGCCGATTACTGCGCTTTCGATGTTAGATCTTTAGGAAGCGGTAACTATTCATCTTCGAACTCGTTTAATCTGAGGTTGTACGAGATTCTTTCTGATTCTTAATGTTCTGACTTTCAGACATGACACCACAACCTGTGCCAAAGCAGTGTAGCGACACGGATCTGAGCTTTGACAATCCTACGTCATTTGTTCGATTACCATGGTCGACGGCCAATATAAGTAACGGATTCCATCAGTCAGTCATAGCTGCTCAAGAAGAGTTCATTTATTGTGCCAGATATATATGAAAATGTCCTATCTTCCAACATTTCTCGTTTTCCAGGTACGTGATCATAGACCGAGCGCTTCGTGCCCTCGTTGACGATGGAGCTCATTGCATTGAAGCTGTCATCGTAAGTACTACTTTTCTTCTTTGTTGTACAATACTGATACCCCACATTTGTCATTGTCTTACATTCAATAGAATAACTCGGATCGAAAATCGTTTCAAAGGTCTCGCTGAAAGAATGCGCCCCTTGGATAAAGTCTTTCGACGGTCTTCTCGGCTATATGGAGGGTTTGACCTCTGTGGAACACCGAAATGCGTTGGAAGTGATGGGTGGTATCGCAAAGTTAGCAGTGAACGCAAAATTTATTCTTACCGCGGTACTTCGACTATACTGGTTTACTTTCTGCCTTTTTTTCTATCCTAATACATAAGCGTTGTTATTTATTCTTATGTTTCAGCCTGTGCCATTATTACGAGCCAATCGGAGTTACTCTGTTACGCTCAGTCAGGAGCAGTGCGCATGCCTGTTAGCACACGCGTTTTTCTGCACATATCGAAGGGAGCGACACGCCTACAATCGTATCAATATGGCCAGGTCTTATATTTTTCCCTATCTTCCGCTTTTTCTCTATTACTAGCTATGTAGTCTTTCATTTATTTTGTTTTCCGTGAGATCCGGGCGGGTCATTTGTCTGCCCACATAGAAGTAACCGTAATTGTGTAATCGCAATGCTTTCAGTATTTTTGATGGTCGGAACCCGCTATCCCATGTCAAACTGCATTTTATTTTGCACTACTTTGCTATGGTGCTTAAGAAGATGCCAAATGGATGTGTTTCTTTTCGACGTGAATCTCTTAACAGCGAAGCGCTCCCTGACTGGGAGAATGAAGATACCTTGGTTTGTTAGAGAAGCAAGTTAGTGAATTAGCAAATGGATTTCTGCACTGCTCATCGCTCTGGTTTTAGATGCCTTTAGTGGCGGTGGCTTGTGATGGATCTATAGAGGATTCTCCTGGATGTTTGCAAGTGGATTTCGCCAACGAGTACATAGGTGGTGGGGTGCTCAATTCAGGAGCAGTACAGGTGAAAGATTGTTATGTATTTTTTTACTCCAAAAGTACTTTCCACCTTTTTTTCAGGAAGAAATTCGTTTTCTTATTTGTCCAGAGATGATGGTTTCCTGTCTATTGTGTGAGAAAATGGGTCCCCATGAAGTGATCCACATTGTTGGTGCCCAACGTTACAGCAGTTACTTTGGTTATGGTTGGTGGATTTCGGGTCATAAAAATTGAATATAGTTAGAGCTTTAATAATTAGTGTTAAAGTGATTCTATTTAGGTGGATCATTGCAATGGGCTCCCTTTGAAGACTTCGACCGTGAACCAAGGGACAAATTTGGGTCTGTTTTCATTAGTCCATACCCCTTTTCTCCCGTTGATTTTAATAATCTCATTTAGCCGTGTAAGATGCGAGTTGGTAGCCATGGATGCAAAACTCTTCAAGCCAGGTTTCAGAAATGTGCAGTATAGAAAAGAAAATATTGATCGTGAACTAAATAAAGTGAGTTTTATCAGCGTGCTTGTAAGTTTGCGTTCACATTCTTTCATTCGTTGGGTTGTTCTAAAAGTCAGGAGCTGATCGAGGCTTTTCAAAAAATTATCATTTGTTTGGACCATTTGAGATGTGTAAACCAGCTAACGCGGCAGTTGTTAACCCACCATATTTTTAATGAGCTTAGAGTGTGAACATGATTAAGTGAGTTTGATGCGAGACACTTGAAAGATATAAGGCAATTAGTCCATTAACATATTCTTGTGTCTCTCCACCTGTTTATTATACTTATTGGCTACGAATTTCTTTTCAGTTTGGTGTGATTTGTCAATAGGCTTACCATGTTAGTGGCAAGTAGTGCTTGAGGTGAGGCTTGGTTGTTTAGGCTTACGCTGGCTTCTTGCCCAAGCTTCGAGACCCTTGCCCTGTCGCTACAGGGAACTGGGGTTGTGGTGTTTTCGGAGGCGACAAGGAATTGAAAAGTTTGTGTTCAATTTTCTTATGCCCCATTCTATCGATCACACATGAGTGATTGCTTCATTTTATAGGTCTCATACAAATGATGGCGGCGGCATGTGCTGGTCGTAATATGATATACTACACGTTTGCAAACAAGCAGTTCGAAATAAGTATGAATGAACATTACGAGAAGTTGTTGAATAAGAAGGTTACTGTTGGTGAGTATAGAACGAGCATTCACTTATACGCATGAAGCGAGCGGAGCTTCGTGTCTGACTCAGAGGTGTGTGATAGAGCAGGACTTAAGTGTATTTCTTGTTTTCACTGAGATAAACATCATGATTTTTCCGATTCGACCAGATTTGGTTTTGTTTCTTGTACTCCTTTAGCTCCTTCCAGTAGATAGAACAGTAAATGACAGAAAATAAAACCAAGGCTTCCAATCACCGTTCGCTATCACTGGGTTGTTGAACTGTGCTTGGAAAGCATATAGCGCGTTGTCAGCAACAGGTCATCCTCGAATTTGAAGTTTCTGGAATAAACAGTCACTCGTCACTTGGGTAACGGCCACATACTCATACTTTATAGTTCTTATGAATTATTTTTGTTTTTTATATCGTTTGCATGTTAGGTAAAAGTTGATTCAGCTAATGTCTGTATATAGGGAATTACATAGAGTGATGAATCTGTTAGTATTGTGAAAACGTGACCGTGGACGTTTGAGGGTGACCTTATAGGATCTAGAGGGCATTTAAAATGGTTATGTTCAGTACTCATTCATTTCTTATATTTTTATCTTCTCAACCTTTACCTTCTTTTTTTAGGTATGTTATACAAGGCGTTGATATCTTACGAAAAAGAGCGTGAGCGAAACAATCGTTTATCGGTTTACGAACACGTGTACGCTTTCATAAGTGAGATTGCCTGTACAGCTTCTTAAGTTTGTAAAATACCTGTTTTTGGCCTTTCCTATTTTTCCATTGCTGTCCTTTGTATATACAGAAAAAGCGGGTTTTAAGTGTCATTGGAAAACCTCTGCGACAAATCCTCTTATGGATTCGTAGTGGTTCACGTTTTAGTGATTGTGACGAGAACTGTTACATGAGATCTCTGGGAAGTGGCTTGAGCTGAGGTCATGAATTTATATATGTACATGTAGCTATTACCTTACTCTTACTACGCACCTTAACGATTCGTTCTCAAACTCTTTTTGGCTAACTTAGCGTCATGGTGGCTCAGGTAAAATATCGTGTTGATGAGGTTATACATACACAAATTTTCACTCATTTGCTTGTGTCATCGTATTGTCTTATTCGGGTGAACTATTTTACGTTCCGATTTTGTAAATATTATGCATGACAATAAAATCACAACTGTCTCTTATGTGATTGTCAGGTTTTATTGCATCTCACGACAAGCGTTGGGTTTATGTAGAAGACGAGTCAGGGCGCGGGACGCCACGTATACTGAGACGGTGCGAGTGATATCGTTCATCTGGTCGAACCAGGTAGCTGTCCCGGCTTACATCAGCCACATTGGGATCCTGCATCTTCATGTCAAAAAGGAGAAGGTTCCTGATGCGATCAGTGGCGGTAGATTTTCATGTAGTTATCCTGCTTGTGTGATGCGATTTTGCTTTTCGAACCTAGCTAATTACAGCTCAAAGCGGTTCTGGCTTGTCTTACAGGCCATGTTCCTTGCTAAAGTTCATCTGGATCACATACTACAGGCTAATTTCAATCGGTCGTGAATAGCTTGAGTTTTTTCAAGTTCCTTTCCGTTACTCTTCAAGCAAGTGAAGAGTTTTCAGAGCGAAGTTTCCTACATCCTGCGGTTCTCTGGAGTTCACAGTTGCACGGTTCCCTTTTAGCACACTTTATTTTCAATTTAACTTATTGCTTTTACAACAATAACTCATTATTGAGCTACTGGTTCTAATTCGGCTAACGCCTTTTGAGATCCAGGTTTTAGTATTAGTGATGGTCTTTTTTGTTTTGGGGCTTTCTTGCTCATTTTGCTCGTCTCGGAATGCTCCATATCAAGGCTGATGATCTGCTCCAAGGTGTCATCTTCGTCAGAATGCGGCTGAAATGATGTTAGGTCACTGCCTTTTCCGATGCTTTTCATCACAATTTGCTGTCACCTACCTGATAGAAACCCTCCTCAATCTTTTTCTTTTTATCCTCCAACAATTCCTGTTGTCGACGTTTCTTGGCACTCATTGTTGGCGACTTTACTGATGGGTATGGCAAGAATTCCTGCTTTTCTAGCGCATTCCTATCCGTCATATCAAGCTGCTGAAACATTGAGCTTACAATAGTTTAGTGAAGGATTTTATGGTCGCACTCAGCGTTGCTTTGAACTGGCCAGCACATGAGCTGAAGTGGATAAGGTGAGAGGAGCTAATTCCGCTACCTTACCGTACTACTCCGGACCTACACAAACCGCACCCCAACCAAGAGGGGTCCCTTCTGCGCGTGGGTTCTTTTCGAAGTTTGAGATAAATTGTTGAGCAGAAATGTTGGCTCGCCCAACACTCTCCTGCTCCCTTGGTCTTTCTTCATTCGATGCATCGTATTTGTGACCGGTTCTCCTTGATCACATGAAGTTGCTCCTATCCCGCTGTGTGTGTGGTTCCTGCATCACAAAATCTATGGCGTGCAGAATCCGTTCTGTCTTTAAGGTGAGGAGGTAAAAATCGAGCAGTACACCTGCACCTCATAGAATCGCTACGGTGTAACGCCAAAGGTTTGACTGAAGTGATAGATAGAACGCTGGCTCAATCCCGTTGAATGCAACCGTTCTGAGCGAGAATGAAATGCTCTGCCCATGCCCAGAAGGAGGAGTGGTATCAAAACGCGTGAGGTACTGACCACCTGCATAAGTTGGTATGGAGGTGGATTTGATTAGTAGAATACTACCATGATGAGAGAGCCCGGGCGAAGGTACGACCACAAGTGCTTCTTGTCCACCCTCCCCCACTATCCCTTCTACTGTACCTCAGCCGTCCTTATGCTTATCAGACTTATCAGCACCTTTTGACATGTGGATACTAGTGGCCCGTGGATGAGCACACACTGGGGGTGGAACTGCCCATACATGTCGTAACTCCCTAACTTCGGTGAAATTGTCTCAATTTTTCACTGCCCAGTACTGCTGGCTCACCGATCGTGATGATACTTGGCTATTCTGTCTAGGAGGACGTATAAGATTGGCAAAGAATCCACGACGTTTCTGTTTCACTTTAGGCGATCGACCAGTGGCTCGTCGTCGTTTTCTGGTGTAGCAGTTATATGCTAGTATAGTACAAGTGTAAATTACGTATAGTAGTAGTTTCTGAAATTATCGGTTTAGTTGGATGTTCGGTAAGAGTGACTAAATGATACCTACTTACTATGACTATGAATAATTGCATTATGGAACATCCGAAGACAGCCGTACTCCTTGGAATCTTCTAGCAAACTGAACCATACCTAAAGACTTCTCCTTGATGAGTGAGGAAGTGCACATGATTACAGGTGATAATGAATGGTAATGTTTTTATCACTATCTCCACCACTTTTTATCGCTTTATTTACTGGACAGAATCGCATTGTTTAGCCCCCTTTAGTAGCGATAAGTCAGTTGACAAAGTGTTGGTCCAAATTTCTGGAAGTGTTCTCTAGTGAGGACACGATTTGTTATCGTGCCTGATTTGACCTTAGCGTTCCTTTCAGAAACTATAAATAGGAATGCAAAGAATGAAGGACACTGGTAGAACTTGATTTTTAAAAGGGAGATTACGGTAACGGTTGAGGGACCACTGCTGTTCCAATTCGGATTCAAGAACCAACACCCGAAGCACAAGGATTGTGCCAATGGCCTTGTTACTCGTAGGGGAATTACGGTATCTGCCCTTTATTTCTCACTTTTGTTTGTATTTGTGTCCTGTGTTGTTTCATTTCTTGTTCTTGATCGTCATATGTGAAGCATTTCTCAGTGATATGTCAGTTACACGGCGCACCAGAGACCTGATAGTGACACAGTAAGGTAATTTTTAAAGATTCATTCGTCGTTTAGGGCTTGGTTGAAAAGACCTAGCTCCACGCTCGTAGTACGCTGTGGAAGACTAGGAGGGTACTAGAGGGTGACTGAATGGTGGTGATCAGCGAACACCTTCGAATTATCTCTGAAGTGGCCCTTTTCTTCTTCATCCGGGACTACTAGGGGTCACCTCAGCTGACCATGATAAATAAAGGGGGTCACCTCAGCTGACCATGATAAATAAAGTTGTCTGTGCAAGTTCCTCTTTGAAAATTCCATATTTTTAATGGTATAGTGGTAGATTTGAAGATAAATCAAAGTATGGGGACAGCCGGCATTTCGATGGTAGAAATCCGGAAGTTTTCTGGTGCTTGTTGGCGTGTCGGTAGGGTTCTGCCAGTGCGACTTTTGAATAGAAGAGCGGGGGCATAGGGTCAGTGAACACATGCATAGTAGAGAGCGCACACAACTAGATATTTGCTAGCTCACGTTAAGCCTACTTCGAGGTCCCGCGACATGACCGAATGCCACTGAAATGCGGGTAACGGAACTTCTCCCC